TCTGTCACTCGATGATAACATCTCTCATATTGTGCAGGCCTCCTTCACGTCTCCCAGGAATATTGGAAATATCAGGCATTACCTCACTAGAAACTCAGCACTATCTCTTGTGGTCTCAAAATTAGACTACTGCAACAGTCTATCGATCGGTGCCACCAAATCTCAACTACAGCATTTGCAGCAAATTCACATGCTTATCGTGAAGAACGACCACGCCAACGCCAAAGTGAGTGTGTGAGGTTTAGTTTTACGCCGCTTTTAGCAATATTCTAGCAATATCACGGCGGCGGACACGAGCGAAAGCTTTAGTCACTTGGCTAGCCCACGCCCCTCAACGCCAAGGAATAAACCATTTGACAAAGCAGAGTGCATCGGGAGTACAAGGCAAACTGGGCGTGAACCACTGAGGAGGCAGGCTTGAATCACTCGTGTCATTTACGTACCAACGACTACTTAAGTAGCCGGGACATTTACACAATTTCACCATTTCTTAACAAATTCAAAATAGTACACACAAATCTCCATCTAAATATTTGAAGTCATTGATTACCTTGTGTTTGTGCACTATGATATTATTGTATATATCACCCAATTTTCATTCACGCAAACCAGTCAGTGTCATGCATTATCTAAAAAGCTTAGCAGATACCGTGGACATGTATTTTCAGTGTGCGCTCCATTACCGTATTACTCAAATACATTTGAAAACTTAAAACTCTTTAGTAAAAACGTACGGAAGCGTAGTAGGGCCAGTTGAAAACATTTTTGGGTCTTACTATCTCCTACGGAGTACTTAATATCTCCTACGTAGGACTTACTATCTCCTACGTAGGACTTACTATCTCCTACGTAGGACTTACTATCTCCTACGTAGGAGTTACTATCTCCTACGCAGGACTTAGTATCTCCTAAGTGGGCATCTCCTACGTAGGACTTAGTATCTCCTACGTAGGACATAGTATCTCCTACGTAGAACTTAATATCTCCTACGTAGGACTTAATATCTCCTACGTAGGACTTAGTATCTCCTACGTAGGACTTAGTATCTCCTACGTAGGACTTACTACCTCCTACGTAGGACTTAGTATCTCCTACGTAGGACATAGTATCTCCTACGTAGTACTTAATATTTCCTGCAGGAGATGATCGATATACATTTATATGGATTAATCTGAAACGGTCGACTTAAAGCCCCAGACACGCACACAATCTCCTGTTTCACTGTTTCAGTCACTGTAAGAGTCTACAGTCATTCGTTTCATTCACTATTAGAGTCTACAGTCATTCGTTTCATTTGCTGTTAAAGTCTACTATCATGTGTTTCAATTTACTATTAGAGTCTACTGTTCCCTTCACTATTAGAGTCATGTGTTCGACTAATTGTTGCACATTAGTACTGTGTTGGACCGACTGTTATACTTTACTGCCTTGCGTTCAGTTTGCTCTACTATTATGCATTGCAGTTAGTTCACTGTTATATGTTGCACTTTGTTACACTTTACTATTATGCATTGGATATTTCAGAGGTCGTTGCACATGAATCATAATCTGCGTGTACAGACGTGTCTTAGACTATCGGTGGCAATCTATGTGTACGTATCCCCTTATATTTATACAAATAACTATAATCAAAATTCTTTGCCTTTTTGAATTTCGTATTGTTTTACGCCGCACTCAACACTTTTCCACCCCAGTCAAGTCAACCTGTAAACATTTACGAATAAAACCGCAAACGAGCGTTGCATCCGATCCAACCTAGCCCAATCAAGACAAGCAACAACTTGCGGAGGTCGTGTTATAACCCGAGTTTCATATCACAACCTCATCCCAACCATCCCACCCACCTCTGTGTATGTGTGTGTGTGTGTGTGTGTGTGTGTGTTTGTTTGTGTGTGTGAATAGATGTATGTATGATAGATTAAACATAACCATACCCAAACCTCCATAACTGCAATATGAACATGTTCCACGTCACCCTAACGTAATACACACACAATAACACTGTATAGTAACACTGCGTTAGTGTCATGAATATTCACTGACTCTCATTTCGACTATCTAACGTCCTGCATAGCCAAACATTTCTCAACTTAATAACCATCCTTAAAAAGGATATATTAAGTCCTATGTAGGAGATACTTAGTCCTATGTAGGAGATATTAAGTCCTACGTAGGAGATACTAAGTCCTACGTAGGAGATAGTAAGTCCTACGTAGGAGATACTAAGTCCTACGTAGGAGATACTATGTCCTACGTAGGAGATACTATGTCCTACGTAGGAGATACTATGTCCTACGTAGGAGATACTAAGTCCTACGTAGGAGATACTAAGTCCTACGTAGGAGATACTAATTACAACGTAGGAGATACTAAGTCCTACGCAGGAGATAGTCACCCTCCAAACAAATTTCACCGTGGCCCTACTACGCTTCCGTAAAAACGTTTTACCCAACTTTTTTATTTGTTCTAACAAGCATAAAATGTTTAAAATGACCAGGAGTATTCGTTGGGGATGCTCTCGGCTGGTAGTTCAGAATGGTGGACAAGAGATGGAAGACAAAAGTCAGGGGTATAGTTAAAGACAGCAGCCATGTTTATTATGGTTGGGAAATAATGGTCGAAAGTGGTACAAGTTAATGGTAATCACGTGACAGAACGCTCATCTTTTCATGTTTATTTTGTTCTTTAATCTTACATTCTCTGCTTTTATTGTAGATTGTATTATCTTCATTCCTATGTATAGAATCTTTTCTGAAATAAAATGATACAAAAATGATGAAAAAGGGCAATATCAGCTTTTTGCTCTTAAGAAAATTTGTTTGTATTTTTTGTATTTGTCTTCATGTAAACTATTGTATGATTTGTATATTGCATCAGGAGATACGTTTGGACAAGAATTTTTCATAAAATTTATTGTTACCTTTCAAGTTTTCAAAATGTCATTACCGCAACAGTGGCAAATATACAGATTTTGGAAAATCCAGTCATAACGTTTGCTCAAAAACAGCTATGAAACGGAAAGAGTTGTTAGGCGTCACATATGTGACTCTTTATAAGTAAAATCGTGCAATAAATGGTCATTTTTTTTTTTTAATATTTTTTTAGTTTTTCGCATTAATGTAAACAAAATAACTGAAGCAACAATGGCTTTTATCTCGAACAGTTATCAGAAACAGACAAACTATTGAATTCCTTTGCCCGTCCCATACGTTAAAATGCTTCAAAGAAATAATTGCTTGTATAATCATAAATACATTTTCGTAAAAGGTGTTTGAGAACCTACGTGAGGCAGCTAGTTTGATGTCCATTATTTATGGTAACATGGATTAGCATTGCCGGAAGAGCCACATTCACACGATCACTCAACCGTGCCCATTGCCGCTTGAGCCACACCACACAAACTCTGTTTTTCTTAAATGTAGCTTTCCCGGACTGAACTTTAGCCGAACGCATGTTCGGACACCGATCGACGGAATGGGTCGTGCGTTTACCTCAAGTGGTAGTGACGCGACTCGTCGAGAAACTATCGGGTCGGATCAGCGTGAGGTATTTATACCAGCGCGGTGAACTCGAGGGAGAGGATCAACGCCGTGCAACTGACCCCGTGTGGTCCATGAAATAGATCAGGAGGATATCAAAGAAGATGAACCCCATTTGTATTGCCTCAATGATGGACCCGGCAGAGGATTCGTGCGAGAGGAATTGCTCATAGTACCTGACGACACGGTATTACCACTCTATTAAATTTTTAACCCTTTACAATGTATTATCATCGTGTGGTGATTGATCGAGAAACGGTTGTTCAATCGCGTCAGGGTGGACATCGATGGGTTCGATATTTATTCAGCCCTACGCTGAGTGATTAGTCAAGGTCAATTCACTACCCTGTACGATAGTTTAGGGTTGGTGGGAACCGAACGGTTACAACTAGTCGATTATAGTCTCGAGCTCAGAGACCGTCCTAACCCGTAGTCAACCTGTTCCTTAGCGACTCCAAAATTTCTGGCAGACCCCATCCAATACAAAATCGCTAACTATTTCAATTAGACCAATAGATCGTCATCGATGGCGTCAATACTTATGATTATGGACATCGTTCTTGTATTAATTTTAAAAGAAAACCATTATTTTTTTCTGTTCATCAACGATGATCCAAAAAATAACCATTTTTGTAACACGTCGGGGAGCTTAATTAACCAGAAATAAACCTCTCACAGAATTTTGTGGCAAAACCCCGATTGTGTATACTACTTCTTGTCTTTTTTATCTGGGCACATACCATTATTATCAAGGGTACAGCTTAATTAAGCCTTATGCAACCAGCCATAGAATGTGATGTTTTAAGCGTCTGTCTATTGGGAGGTATGTCTTATGGGAAGATACCACCGGAGGACGATTCTTCATCGACTAGCCGCACAATCCGTCCTCTTCTGTCGATGATCTGGGCCCGTCACCTCGCCTCGTCTGTCTGACTGGTCTATCTGACAGTCAGGTTTAATACATAGGGACATAACGTCACGTTGTACAAGGTCACTGACTTATGCACACGTACATACGTAAGATCCGCCGACGTAGGGAGGTGTTGATTGACATTTATTGATAGCATTGAGAATTAAGGGTCCTGCCTGGAAGAGGGCTATGATAAGAGGAGATACACCGAATGTTTGCTGAATACAGTAAACAAAAGAGATAGAATTTCGGGGTACTTTGGAAACGTACTGAAACAATTAAATCGTTTGAATATTTGAACTTTTAAAGAAACTTATTGAAATGATTTGGTCTATGACAAAAAAACGTAAAAAGCTTACCCATGTTTGCCCAAATCATAAAATATAGCGTTTCGCACGTAGTGAAAAACAATATATTCAATATTACCAGCAGGCAAAATCACATATGAATAATTATGATTGATAAGGGGATTAATTCTGTTGCTGAAATACTACAAATAAATCAAATCAATACGAAACTAATGGCTGACTAGTTTCTGTTGTTCATTAAAGCTCCAGACGCTGGTAGATACAAGTGTGAAGAAGTGCCCAATGCATCATCCACTGACGACATTGTAAGTATTATATAAGTACAGATTTGACTGTATTTTCCATAATAATGTCCAGATTGACATAATATCGTAAGTGAAATCGTAACCTACATGAAGTGTTTTACAACCTGTTCTCCAGAAGTACTCAATCAATATAACTGAATGTTTATTGTGGTCGTATCTTGAGTCTGTAGATGAACACATGAGTGAGTGAGTGAGTGAGTTAGAATTTAACGTCACCTCGGCAATATTTCAGCCATATAGTGACGAGAAATATTTTACATAAACAATAAATTAAAGTTGCTAAATAATCAGTCATCGAAGGACTGTAAAATAACTAGAGTATCACAGATGGAGTCTAAAACTAGCATGAACATGTAAAACTATTTCATTTACGAAGAAATTACAATCTAAAAACGGGCTATAGATCGCCAACAACTGAAGGTAGATCACCATACTAGGAACCATGGGGACTTACATTATTTTTGCTACCTGCATGGACCAGATGAACACATGCCAAGCTAATCAGTAAGCTGTGGTCATTAATCCCCCAGCTGGTCGGACCATATCTTACACGGATGAACAGTATTTGCACAATCAATCAAGTATAACAGTTAATTCCCCTAAGCTGAGGGGTGAACGAGAAGACCCCCTCCAGACAGCTATACACAATGTAGTTGCTGTGGTAACATAGTAGTCAAGGTCGATATGACCAATATCTACCAATTTCATGTTTTTTAATACTGAAGTATGCTTTTTGCAGAATCAGAACCAACAACAGCGGGAGCTTTTACCTGAAGAATTTACCGGATACAGATTTTTTGTGCTGACCGGAAGTAATGATAACCCAAGCTGTAGTGTGAGTGTTGCTTGTTTATGTATAAATATTGAGTTAGGCTTTTACTATGGAAAGGGGACACTACATGCAGGACATGTCCTGTTATATCAGTTTTACACTATCTTAATGAAATAATATCATCTTTGTTGCAGCTGCTGCGTATGTACATTGAGGGAGAGAGAGGGTCAGCATCTGGGACATGTCTTCATCCCTCTAGGCCAGCCTTGTGGATGCCTGGGAAAACTGGAGATGACATTACAGCACAGATAGGAAATATCAAATTGATATTTTTCGAGGTAATTATAACCGTTTCCTATGAAACGTATAATTCATCTCATATTGGCGCATCTCATAGCCCTGCACTTTCATGTATTAACTCGTTGTCTTTGACTGGATGTTTAGGGTCTGGTACTTAAAGTTTATATAATATTTCGGACAGCAAATACGTGCTTGACCTTCACTTAAAATAGTCGTAGATAAATTCAAATTAAATGCTATTTCTCCCTTCCTTCATCGCCCCTGTACGTGATGCATCTTCAACGCCTCGTCTGTCTGTCCGTCCGTCCGTCATGATCTCGTTTCCGGAGCATAAAACGTTCAACGCCCTTCAAAAAAAATTGTTAGATATATCAAACAAAACCTGAAGTGGTGCCATTGAGTATTTACAGATGTTTTGGCAATTGTATTTTTCCCGATTTCCGGGGAAACATTTTGGACTTGGTTTCAAAAGGAGGGGTGAATTTCGTTTCCGGGGCTTGACTCAATAACCTCTCGATATCTATCAAAAAAATTTGACAGATTTAGAGAGTAATCCACGAGGTACGAGTGATTACCGGAAATATGTCCCGGGCTTTAGCGAGGGACTTGAATATTACTTTCACGAGGGACATATGTTTGTCAACAATTAGCTGAAACGGACTGTTACCTATTTTGGCTTGCGTCAGTGTCCTTGTCAGGAACGATAACTCTTAATTTAGTCCGACTTCGAGTCGACAACAGGCAAAATACGACTTTTCGGGACTGAAAGAACAATTATTTGAAATAGTGAAATTGAAAACTCCACCGTAATTTGGACCAGAAAAGTTGAAAGGAATTTAGTGGTCGTACTATTCTCGTTACATGTCCAATAATGTCTCCGTCTTCATTGACCAAGTCATTGACTTTGCTTGGAGTTAACTGGGTAGCCATGTTTCAAGAAGCAGACGATTTATCAATTTTATACCATTTTTATTGCAAAACATGTTAAATAAACATGTGAGTCAATTCATTATTACAATAAATCGTTGAAATATTACGAATGAACGTGAGTGAGTGAGTTAAAATTTAAAGTCACTTTGGCAATATATCAGCCATATCGTGACTAAATCAAGTTATAGATTAATATATATTTAAGGTAAATTATAAAAACCTGTCAACGAAGGACACTAAAATAATTAGATTATCACAGGTAGAAATTTTAAAACTAGTAACCAAATCTAAAACATTTAACTGTACACGACAATACAATATAAAACCAGGCTATAGATTGCCAACAACTGGAGGTAGATCACCATAATAGAGACCATGCGAACTTACAGTACATTTGCTTCCTGCATGGGCCCTAGCTGGATTTACATTATCCCTTCAGCTGTTAGCAATTTAGATGTAACTAACCATGCATTAAAAATACACATATGCTACGATTAAAAATGTGGAGAGTTTACATTTACTTTGAATGTTTTGGGACTTACGTACCCTCTCAGGAGGACACTAATTTTACAATACTTCAACCCCCGTTGAGGGGGTTTTGCTTCGTGTGGAGTTTTTGCATATACATTTTTCTTGGTTTCCATGGAATCAAGAGAAGACACAACCTTATGGATGATCAACTTCTTTATTTTAACAAAATGGCGACGTTTCAGTATAGGTTCTTATACCGTTTTTCAAGTAAATGGGGGGGAATGATGGGGTACACCAGTTTATATACAAGATAAGATAATGCGATAACAATAATAAAGGTGGGGAAACAAAGCATGAAAGAAAATTACAAGATGAGCTACAATGACATGATGATGAGCTTAAGATAACAAAATGAGATGAGTGGGATTACTATGACAATTAGTGAATGTAAATTAATTAGGCAGAAGCCAGGGAGGTGGGAGGGATTAGTTAGTGGGAAGCCAGTGGTGAGGAATGTGAGTTAGGCAGGTAGATGAGAAGCCAGAGTGGGTTGAGTGGATAGTTATTTGTGGATTAGGTGGTTGTAAGCTGATGGGATGTAATAGCCTTTATCTCCAATAATAGAGGGATTAAAACGGCGTATTTGTAATGCTTCGGCCAATTTCCGCTGAGTGTAATCATGTTTGTTGTTGACAGTGTCCCAGTTGATGTTGTGTTGAGGGATTTGGTGATGTGCTCGGAAATAGATGATTTGGTGTCTGCTTTGTTTGTAGATGTCTTATGTTCTTTGATGCTTATGTTGAGTTTTCTGGATGTTACACCAATGTAGTTGCTGCCACAGTCGCAGCTCATGTTGTAGACCACACCTTTAGGCTGTTTTTGTAGTGTGTTTCCTACCGTTTGCCTTAATGATAGTTTTGAGAGGTGTGGCCGTGGAGAAGTATGTGTCTATGCCTGCTTGCTTTCTAAGTAAGGGACTGATGTGATACATGACTGATGTGAAGCTTGACTTAGTTTCCAAAGAAGGGGTGGATTTCGTTTCCGGAGCACAACTTGAAAACCATGAACGATTTTTTTATCCAAACCAGGTACATGTATTAACCAAGGGCTGAAGTGGTGTCTTTTGTTATTTAGGAATTTTTCAAAGTTTGATTCTTTTTCAAGTTCCACTTACCTGAAATTGAGGTAGGTGTCGTTTCCGGAGCACAATTCGAAAAGCGTTCAATAGTAAGTAAATGATGACTCTTGTTTTGTGACTGCACTCATGTTTGTTTTAACTTAAGCCGGATACAGGTTGTGCCTGGCGACCAGCTGGAGTGACAATGACAAACATCCAATCGTCACAAAGTCAGTATTTCTCCTGTGCCCAGTCGGTTGAAGAATCTATACGGACCATTAGGAGGGTTCGAGCAGCTTTCAATAGAAGTATGTTGATCATTGAATGGTGTAAAGTGTTGTAATTGTATATCAACCGACATTCAGTGGCATAAAAACGAAACCAACAAAATAACTGTGGCGGCAACAATCAGTCATCTCTCTCTCATCTCTCTCTCTCTCTCTCTCTCTCTCTCTCTCTCTCTCTCTCTCTCTCTCTCTTAAGCGGGAGACGTAAAACGTAGTCATGGGTGCCGTAAGGTTACGTTTGTGACGTCATCGTGTGACGTCATCTATGTGAGATATGTATATATATATATATCTGTCACATCGGCAATACTTCAGCCATATCGTGACTAGCATATATCTTTAAAAGTAGAAATATATTTTTGAACAATACAATGTTAAAATGGGCTATTGATCGCCAACAACTGAAGGTAGATCACCATACTAGGGACCATGGGGACTAACAGTACTTTTACTACCTGCATGGACCCTAGCTGGATCCCTATATGTCGCTATATGTCGTATTGAATGTGGTATATACTCTGTTCTTGTATACGGAATTGTGTTGAGAGCTAGCGAGCAAGCGATGTTTTCGGTCACGCATTAAAACGCCATAAATCGTCCTCGCCCAGTTCTACACGGGGAAGGCATGGGTTCTATAAGCATTCACCTTTTAGGTGAGGTGAGGTGGAATTGGGTTTTACGTCGTGCTTGAGAATATTTCGCTGATATGACGACGTGCATGCGTGTGTATGTGTATGTGCGGCTGCTTGTACTAGCCCAGACTTAAGCTGGTTTTATAGTGCTAGCCCACTGAGATACCATGCCGCAGTGAAGCATGAATACCCCACTCAGACACATTATACTGACTCCGAGCCGACCAGTCCTTGTTGTACCCAGTAATGCCGAGCGCCAGGCAGGGGACCAACAAGTACCATATTTTAACGTCTTTTGGTATGACGCGGTCGGGGATCGAACCCGCGAACTTCCGCCTCGGGTTGACGCTCTAACCACTACACCACGGAGGCGATTCATTCACCTTTTGACTACCTATGACTACTACCTATGTAATGTGTCCCGGAAGTGATGTTGGAAGGTGAGACAAACCTCAAAGTTTATGAGAACCTCATTCACTTCCTGCCATTTACCAATATCCTCTACCTCTATTCTGCCACATAACATGATGTCCTTCATATACATTTTGTCAGTTAGGGTTCGAGGGGCATGATAGTGGGTCAGTGAAGAATGGTCAATAGATTTGACTATCTAGTCAATTGTAAAATTTGTCCATGTATTCCAGTTCTACAAATCGTTTCACAGGAATCGAAGTAAGAACTTTTACAAGCGACATTTATCTTGCTGGCACGGACTCTGACTTGTTTGTGACGGTGCATGGTCGGACTGGATCCAGCAATGAAAAGAGACTCTCTGGGTCGTTTGAAAGGAATGATCGTGATGACACGAATATGGACATTGGAGATATAGGACGACTCTATAAAGTGAGGTGTGTCAATTGATTGTGTGCTTTGTTTACAGCAAGCCGTCGCATGGCAGGAAAAAGATTATCCCAATATTTAGCAAAGTGTTTGAATGACGATTCGACCAACAGAGCAGGACACGCTCACAATTTTCGCGAATATCATGTTGTAGCATCTATTTTCAGTGATTCATTAGTTTTCACATATATTTTTCCCATTACACTCAAATGTATTGTTTTTGAGGTTTGTTTAGACTTTGTATTCTTTTGCACGGGCGTGTATATTAAAAGGAAAAGTGTCTATGAGTGAGTGAGTTAAAAAATAAAGTCACCTCGGCAGCATTTCAGCCATATCGTGACTTTGAAAGTTTTAAGTTTGTACATGTATGCATGAAATATAAACAAACTTATATACTTACCTGTCTGCGATGGACAGCCTATGAACAATGTTTAATGTTAAAAGTGGTTAATATCGCGATGAAATTTGTTATTGGTAAAATGTTGCGATGAATACATTTAAAGATATCTGGTTTGGTGTAATTGAGATAATTGTATGTAATCCTTAATTAATACTTTTATTGCACGGACATACTGTAATTTATACACTTAATGCAGGTCAAATTTCCTTTTTTACAGAATACGCTCAGACAACAGTGGATGGCTCTCCGGCTGGCATCTTAATAAGGTCAGTGAGTTCAAGCAACATCATGATAGCCTGGTCTACATAACCATAACATGAATGGAATCTAGTGTTCCGTATGAAGAGAACATGTCTTGACTACGCCACTGACCCTTACTGTGTATTAAAGATTTGATCGTTTTCAAGTTCTGATTGAATGTAGAAGGAGCTTATATGGAACTCCGAAAAAAGATTGAATTCAGTAAGACCGGTTAGAGTGAGTGAGTGAGTTAATATTTAACGTCACATCGGGAATATTTCAGCCATATCGTGATGAGAACATATTTGACATTGAAATGGAATATATGTATATGTTACAGCTGGTTAAATCGCCAAGTAATGTCAATGGATCACACGACTCGCTTTAGGGGTGAGGTGCCGTTTATTCAGATATTTCCTTTAATCATACATCAAGCCCTGAAACACACATAACATTCTTAGAAACATTTACACATTACATAATGTTTTGCATAGGTATCACAATTAGCTTACCACAATTAATTATGTAGTCTAACATTTACACATGTGAATTATACCACATTATAAACTGTCAAAGGAAATAACAATAACATGAAACTATATGCACAACGTTGGTTGTGACACCAAGGGAGATAATTCATTGCCAAATAACACATTTGCCCAAATTGTGCAACAATATGTACACATATCTGACAGACAATAAAGTTCACAATTAACATGACATACAACCAGATAACTATTTGGTAACCCTTAAAGGTTACCGGAAAGATGTACATAAAAAAGGATATACATTGACATATAAAAATACATCTTACCCATTTGTGGAATAGAGCCTTACTGATTAGACCGTGTTGTGCTGATACATATGTGACCTACCAATTACAAACATCATTCATCATTGTGACAATACATTCACCATCACTGACGATCTCCGTTCACACAACACAAAGAAAAACATTGTAAGCATATACAAAGGGAAATCTGAGCACCATGGCTGCTCATACAGAACATTCATCAAAATGACGATGCTTTTACAATTGTTCTGCTCTCCACTCACAGAACACACCGAAAACCATTGGACTTTAATACATTTAGAAAACTGAGGGATATGGTTGTAAAAACAGAACATTACTAATAATGCTATTTGGTTTTACATGAGTTATAATACAATACAACATGAACTTTGGCTTTAAGATAATTAACCAAGTTTATTTGGTTTACAATATGACCATATATTACAAATTACCAAATAACATTTAGACTGCAATTAATTTAATGGAGATGTAAAAGAACAAATACACTTAAGCATAATTTAGTGTTAAAGTATTTAACTAACCAGTTAGATGCTGTTTAGTGGACCTTGTTGCCTTGTTGCCTGGGAGCTGTGCTGTGCTAAAGTGTTATTACAGGGGTGCTCAGATTGGTGCTTGGGAATTATGGGAATTTGAATTAGCCAATTAAAAGCTATGAATTAGGATCATGTGATAAATAATAATCCAGAATGAGACCATACTCTAAAACCAGCATATTTTGTGAATCCTAAACATAATAGAAACGTTTCAGATGAATGCAATTCATCTGAAATACTTGACAAATACAACTAAATATCTGACATACGCATAAAACCACAAACTTTAGAACACTACCACCAACCTTCAATATTTTTAGTGACCTTTTTATGACTTATATAATATTTTTATTTTTATTTTACTTATAAACAATAAAACACTATAACACCATTATATATTCCATAATTGTAAAATAAATCTATACAAACAAACCAAACTGACTTATTAAATACATATACTGTCGACGAAGGACAGTAAAACAACTAGAATATCACAATTAGAAATTTGAAACTAATAGCACTATTTGGACAATACAATATAAAAACAGGCTATAGATCGCCAACAACAGAAGGTAGATCACCATACTAGGGATCATGGGGACTTACAGTACCCTAGTTGGATTTACACCATCCCTTCAGCTGCTGGCGATTGTAAGAAATGTGTGCGAAAAATAAAATAACAAGAATACTACGTTTAAAAGTCCTGGTAACTTTAAATTGACTTGAATTTGTACCCTCTCAGGAGGACAATAATTTTACAATACTTCAACCCCCTTGAGGGTACAGCCACTAACAATCTGAGTTATTAATTTAAACTTCCAATCATAAAATATTTATCTATTTACAAATCAGTTAACAAATCTAATTCTTTTAAAAATGCAATAATTAAATGGGAACTTATATTATCAAAAAGAAAGACCGGTAAGACAAGACATGCTTGTCATGGTTATATCTTCTGACATCACTGATTTTCATTCATTGGCCCACATCACCGATACATTCATCCAGTGATCCAGTCATATACCTGTCACTATTATCAAGCTGGATAAAATATTTTGGGCACATAATTGAGACTTGTTTTTCTCTGGCATTGACGTGTGGAATTTATAAACATGGTTTATTCCTTTGGTTATAGATTGCAATCTATGAAGATCACGGAGCACTTGAATTTCAATGCAACTGTTGGATTGGCGGATCGGACCCACTGGAGAAAACACTCACAGTCGATACTGGTAAGTGAGTGAGTAAATTATAATTGTAGACCGCGTCGGCAATATTACAGGCATATAACGATGAAAACAAGGTATTAATTGTCAAATATCTGTCGACAAAGGACAGTAAAATAGTTTGGAATATTGTTGTTTTTGACGAAAACCAACTTGATGAAAATTAAGAAAGAAAGGTAATCAATAAGTCATTCTTCTCAATTAAAAACAAACTAAAAACCACTAACAACCAAAGCTTACTGGGGACGTACAGTGCGGGAGTGGTACGTGGTACCAGCTGCCTTGTGTAAAACACTGTAAATAATTACGCGTGTGAGTGTGAGTGAGTGAGTTTAGTTTGACGTCGCACTAAGCAATATTCCAGCTATCAAGCGGCTGTCTGTCTCTAATCGAGCCTGGACCAGACAATCCAGTGATCAACAGCATGAGTATCGATCTACACAATTGGGATACGATGACATGTGGCAATTAATTCAACGAGCCTGACAAACCGATCCCGTTAGTCGCCCCTTAAGGTAAGCATGGGTTTCTGAAGATCAATTTTAACCCGGATCTTCACCAAGGCCGCTTCGTGAAAAAGTATGTGCAAGCTTTTTCTGTAATAGTTTACCCTTTCTACATTCTGTCACAGAGTGTCGAAGCATCGACTATTGTGGCAGCCAACGGTGCTATACCTGCTCAGCGTGCCTTCCTTCAGATTCAAGATACTTTTATAGACACATCTCTTACGCCAACAAGTGCTATCGTAAGTACACCAACCGACAAGTAAGTACACTCAAGTATTTTGGTGATTGAAAAATTTGCATGTAGAAATAACATTGTTTTACGTACACTAATGGCGCACATGATTACACAGAATGGTTACATCCAAGAATAATAGACAAGCGATGGTAGATTACTACCAGTCACTCATGTAATGAGTAGGGTTCCCAGTGCCCATCCATTTAACGTTTTCCCTAAATTCAATATAAATTACTTGCGTGCTGTGACAAACGATAATCTGTGTCATCATAATAAATATATTGTTAGAAATAATCTACAAGTATTTTCACGTTACTCGTTTAGGTTGCGAACAGTATAAAATGCTTAAAAGCAAAGTTGATACATGTGGTCAAAGTAAGTATAAATGGATAGAACCATGCCTGAACCTATGGTGTTGATCCATATTTAGAATATTGCACAAGGGAGTTCAGAGAGAGGTTTAAACAGTCAGTAGTCACCTCGTGTTTTCAAAGCATTGTCTGCAACCCTGATGATCATTTAACGTTGAAAAGGAGAGTTGCCCCATGTCACCACAGACGACTGGTGACAGATACGGGGCTGTTGCAGTCCAGGGTATTCAAATTTACATCGACGTTAACATTAAAAACCCCATTGTTGATAGTTATTATAGATACTACAGCTCAACTCGAGCAGGATCTGCTGTGACGCTACGTGCTGCAATGTTCCTCCAGTCCATTGTATGACAGACGTGATCTTCCCAGCAATCATTTCCTTCTTTTAGACAACATTCCACCACAGATTATTGCATCACCATATTCAGAGCGTTCGCCGTCAACGCCATTGGGATGTGACGTTCATCCCGACGTCATGCTTCCTGTCATTGGATTGGGTAACAAGAAGCATGACTCGTCAATGAAAAGGACCTATCAGACCTATAGTTGCAGTCCGCCGCAAATAGTGTCTGCAGAACTGGGGGCGTCTATATTGATCTATTCGTTCTAGTCCTCGCACGATAATGCGTAGACGTCGTTCAGCTGTCGTCACATACACGCCTATGTTGCTAGACCTGTGAAAGTTGCTATCTAAGTTCTGTGTCGGAGATGCATATGATTCCAATCAAGGAGTTGTCACATTTAAACTATTGACTTTCCGTTGCATGTGTTTGTGACCCATGGACAGGATAGGGTTATCCTTTCGCCAATCCTTGGCGTCATTACAATTTGACAGTGATTCTAAACACATTCTATTAATGCAATTTACGAGATTTTGTCACCTTTCAATGGTAAAGTGAAAGGGAATTTTCTTAATCATTGATGAAGCTCAGAAAGAATATGTTTCATTGCATTTGACTTCCAACTATCTCTGTCTATTCAGGATGCCAATTCATTGCAAACTGTCAAAGGATGGAGGAGTGTGGTTGCAATGACTGCCAGGTGTGCTCAAGATGTGAGGGCATTGTGATAGATACACCTGGGCACAGAGCATACGTCGCTTCAAATGACAGAAAACACTGTAGAAGTGAGTACGCTTAGAAAAAGCGAGCAATGTAAGGTCACTTATAGTATCAATCTGATGAGGAAATGGTAGACCCTATATTTGTAGAAGAGAGTATATGTACTGGTAATAAAAATTGTTTTGAGTGAGTGTGAGTGAGTGAAATTTAACGTCACCTCGACAATATTGCAGCCATATTCTTGAGTGAGTGAGTGAACATGGTCTTACGCTGCTTTTGCCCAACATTATGGTGAACAATACCCGAAATGGATCATGGTGAGTATGGTGCCCACAAAACTAGTCCTTTGACGCTATAAGTGAAATTATTTACCCCATGAGACTATCCCATCACCTCATAACTGATTACAAAGCAAGAGGAATACGATCAGGTAATCTGTCTTATCGAACTTCAGAGGCATGTTCATGGCGTCCTGACAGCACGTGGTGTTACCCGGGGACCTGCCAGGAGGAACTGGCCAGTAACTGCATCTGCTCTCCTGGATTCAGTGGTTCAAACTGTCAGAACAGTAAGTTTACTTCACCATTACAACACCTCTTACCTTCTTCCATTCATTATCCATACCTAAAGTACAAATTGCTGGTGTACTATATATAATGAGTAACTTCTTTTGGTAAAAATAGACAAACACAATCTTTCGTGGATTTTATCCCGTTTAGTAGATAACATAAGACTCTCAGTGATTGTGGCAACGTTAAAAACTGACACCACACATTTACATTTAACACTACCATAATTTGTCACCACTGATTTGACTGTGTCTTCACTATTCAACCCTTCAGTTGACACACCACCCGTAATATCGTGGAACAGAATTGTTGTGCACGGCCAAGGTAACGAAACGGCCGAGGCTCCAGTCGACCCGAATAACGCAGAGGCCCAGGAAGACTCGTGGACAAACCTGAAGAACATCCACAACATCAACTATGATTTTCACACAAGCTTCATCCCTTCTGGGCTGCAGCCCAGCAGGCATAACTTCATAGATGGTTACAAAGTCGGCATAAAACGGGGAAAAGTGACAATAACCATTTTCAAAGGTACACCTGAACTATTTAGAAATCAAGAAAAACTTCCGATTTTCAGGGGGAAAAGTCGGACGTGAGAATTAATTTAAAATAATATATATTTTGTATGTGCCACTTAACGTTAAAACCCATGTCCTTAAACCCAACTTCCTTCTATTCGATCAACACTGTCCTAAGACATGTTTCCTTTATCTGAAGCTCCCAGTGGTCCATTCATATTCGTTTCAAGGGCACTGTAAGTCCCCATTGTCCCTAGTATGGTGATCTACCTTCAGTTGTTGGCGATTACTGGCCCATTTTTACTTTGTATTGTCTAAAAATAGTTTTCTACTTTTAAAGTTGTATGCTAGCTAGTTTTAACTCATTTTGTGATAATCTAGTGGTTTTACTGTCCTTCGTTGACAGGGTTTTATATATTACCTGTATGTATTATAAATTTAGAACTAGTTTTAGTCACGATATGGCTGAAATATTGCCGATGTGACTTAAAATTTTAACTCACTCACTCACTCACTCGTTTCAAGGGGCAGTGAAGTAGCCTGGTGGTTAAAGCGTTGGTTCATCACACCGAAGACCCGGGTTTGATTCCCCACATGGATACAATGCATGAAGACCGTTTCCGTGATATTGCTGGAATATGGCCAATAGCGGCGTAAAACCTTACTCTCTATTCGTTTCAAAGCTGTTTTGCCCATCATGCCAAACTGAACCGTCTTCTCGGGATAGTCAGAACTGGTTTTATTACTGTGCTTGTACCTTCTATATTATATATGTTTGCTCCTCAAAGGGATGATGATCAGACAAAATGAAGGCATGGCATGATCACAAATCAAAATTTTGTAACAAGACCACAAAGAATATTAGCTGTGAACTGCACAGGGACTCGCATGGATTGGGTACTTACACTTTATTCTTTTCATTACAGGATTAATTACCTCTTTTTCAACGGTCATTAACTGTGAGAATGTTTCTGAGCTTGCCCCACATAGAGGTCTCTTCAAATGCTTTGGAGATGTCAATGTGACTTCATCGGAGCTGACAACAGGGAATGTGTAAGACATACTTACCTATTACAAATATTCTAGGCACATAAAGAAACTGTGCATACGAAAATTTTAAATCTAAATTTATCAAACCTGTGTAGACACATAAGGATTTAAACTCAGAGATTAGTGACATGTATCCAACATGCATGCACGTGCCACGTTCCGTAACGTCAGTGGGTTCGTCCTTGAGACGTGCAATACGTTGTTGCATGTGCATTCCGGGAAAGAGAATAAGAGCAAATGAATGCCACACAATACTGTCACTTTGAAAAGCTCAACCCCTGCCCTTGCGATCGTTCAAAAATGAAACGGCTATTGAAACGCATAGCATGCCAAGGCTCACGTCTGCACAACGTCATGAGGCCATTGGGATGGTCCGTCGGGGAATGTCTCAACGACAAGTAGCTGCACATTTCCACTCCCACCGGAACACCATTTCTGTACTCGTGAGACGCTACCAGAACACAAATGACGTCATCGATCGGCCACGTTCTGGACGTCCACGTGTAACAACGCCAAGACAGGACAGTTGGATAAGGGTGACCCATCTTCGCCACCGGTTTCAGACTGCAGTGATGACTGCCCGAACCATCTCAGGTACTTCGCCGTATCCACCCCAACACAGTTCGACAACGTTTACGTCATCACGGGGTCAGACCACGACGTCCCGCCATACGGCCTATCCTGACACAACGTCATCGACAAGCTCGCCGAATGTGGTGCCGAAATCATGTCCGCAGACCCTTGTTTTGGTGGTGAAATGTTGTTTTTACAGATGAGTCCAGGTTTAACATTTTCCATAGTGATGGATGTCAACGTGCCTATAGACGCGTGGGAGAACGTTATGAACAGGCCTGTGTCTTGGAGAGGAATCGCTTTGGTGGTGGTTCCGTGATGATTTGGGATGGAATAACAGCACGCCAAAGAACTCCTTTGGTGATTGTTCAGGGCAACTTAACTGGTGTGGGCTACAGGGATCAGATTCTTCGACCTGTGGCAATTCCTTTTCTGCAACGTCATGACCCTGGGTTAACATTCCAAAAGGACAATGCCCGCCCTCATACGGCAAGGGTTGCTATGGATTTCTTGCAACACCACAACGTTGACTTACTGCCTTGGCCTGCAAATTCACCGGATTTTCCCCGATAGAGCATGTTTGGGACGAGATGGATCGACGTCTACGACGTGTTCCTCATCCGCCAGATAACGCCCTTGACCTTGCAACAGAACTTGAGAGAATCTGGCGTGACATCCCACAAGCCTTCCTTGCACGTTTGATAGGCTCTATGCGTCGTCGATTCACTGCTGCTCTCAATGCCGATGGTGGACATACCCGTTATTGAGCTTGTGACATGGTCGTTTGACCTCTGTCCCGCTTGCGGACTCGTGACGTCATTGTGATTGATTCTTCAATTGAAATTCTCCCGACTTGTTATGGTCTCATGATCCCTCCATTAAAGTTTATATGTACCTTTGACATTGTTATCGTACATATCAACTGGGATAATATTTTGACAATGCACAGTTTCTTTATGTGGCTAGTATATATTGCTTTCGAATTCCACATTGTGTTTTGATTTCCGTAAACGCTTATCACATTTTCACAACGATGCATATACAATGTAAATTACTTTTGTGCTATGGCAGCTAATGGCTTACATTTATTTATTTATTTTTATTATAGGATATTTATATTGTGCACATATCCACGCAACTATAGTCTGTTTGCAGTGAAAACGTACTGATGAATTTCACTTTAAACAAAAGTAAATCAAATAAAGTGACATTAATATTGCGAATCGTCACAATTTTACCTTGCCAATTGAACATTTAATCTCAGAATTGTATTCATCTTAGGATAAAAGTTGTTTAACAAACGATCATACATTGAAATCGCTATTATTGGTTTGTATTACAAAGGGGTAAGAGCAGTAGTTGGAACAGTGAAACAAACGCACGTGCGGTTCGTGATGAGCGTTAACTTAGACCAACTCTACTTGTTCTCGGTGTTTCCTTTGATGTGCATACCCCCTTGTAATACAAACCAAAAATAGCGATTTGAAACTATGATAGTTTGTTAAACAACTTTTATCCTAAATTGAATAAAATTCTGAGATTTTAATGTTCATTTGGCAAGGGAAAATTATGAGGATTCGCAATCGTAATTCCACTTTATCCGATTTACTTTTTTGTTTAAATTGAAATTCATCGGTACGTTTTCACTGCAAACAGACTATAGTACATGCTCAAGGCGCTGGTATATTTTCCCTCGATCATTGGATGTCAATCTCAATGGCACATCGTATTATCAATCCCAACTCCCTGGGGAGCATACAACTGTTGCAGCCACAAGGCGCACTGAGCTATTGCTGCTTTCCCACCCTTATGAGGTACCCATTCAGAGCTGGTCGGACTGGGACACATAGTCACAGTATCTTGTCCAAGTTTACTGCACGTTGCTGTACCCACGTATTCATATGGCCACCATCTGGTCACATACCAACGGATTCGTGGGTTCTTTTAAGTGCACAGGGTTGTGTACTGTACACTAGGAGTTGTGACAACACTGAAAGAGTCTGCACACAAAGTTGACTCCAAGGCTTTACACCCGGTCACAGGTGGGCTCGATCCCGACACCTCAAACTCGCTGGAACACTAGCCTGGCACATTAAACAGCTTGCCCACCATGCAGCCCATTTCTCGAAAGAACTGGATTCTTATATCATTGTATTGATCGGTCAAGCACATTATTTGTTACAGAGTGCAGTTTCAGTTTGTCACCTCAAGCGGCGGGTTTGTGAAGGTCAAGAACATGGAAAACAACAAAGTGCAGACACACTACTATGCTGGTCAGTCGAAGACAGCAACAATGAGAATAGGTATCGACTATGTGAATCCATATCACTGCAATGCAACTTGGGAGTGTTCCGCTGATATGCTCATTGTTGGCAAGACAAGTAAACAGGTGAGAATATGGTTTGCATAGGTGACACAGCCATTTTGTTGCAAGACTTACATATGATATCAGTGTCTTTTAACTGCTTGTAGACACGTGAAGATCAGGGTTCGAATTGGTCTTCAGCAAGCAATGCTGGTCGTAACAATCGACTAAGGGGATCGGGTGGTTAGACTTGGTTGCCATGCCACCGTATCCCAATTGCGTAGATAGATGCTCATGATGGATTGTGGCCCAGACTGGCCCAGACTCGATTTTTTACAGACCGCCGCAAAAAAGCTTAAATACTGCTGAATGCAGCGTTAAACAACAAACAAGCAAGCAAAACTGTTTGCATGTTTTAAGCCTGATTCCAACAAACACACAATTTGTAGTTAAAAACAGTTTCAAAAGTCTGCAATGGTGAAGTGAGTGAGTAAAAATGTAAAGTCACATCGGCAATATTTAAGCCATATCGTGACTAAAACTAGTTCTAAATTCATAATACATACATATAATATATACTGAACATCATTGAAAACGCACCACCTGTATTAGTTTGGATTTCCAAGAGCATAAATTGGCAATCGGTGTAAATTTTACACACTTTTGTAGTCCAAGGATTGGTAAAGAAAAGAAACAAGAACCAATCCAGCAAAACAGTGAAGTTTTAATTCAGCTGACCATGAAAGAAAGATGGAGTCAAATTGGAAAGTCGGTAACGTGTATGCCCACCGTTAGCAGCAAAACAAGCTGTGCAACGTCTCCTCATTGAACTGAATAATGTTTTGGGCAATGCATTCCACTCTTGTTGCAAGGCATTCTCAAGTTCCCCAAGGTTGTTGATCTGTGGGCGACGTGAGAGGCGTTGGCCGATGCAATCCCACAACTGTTCATTGGGAGACAAATCTGGTGACAATGCAGGCCATGGAAGTACAGGAATGTTGTTGTTTGCTAGTAACTCTGTTGCAACACGTGCAGTGTGCGCTCGAGCATTGTCCTGCTGGAATGTGTGCATATCTTGATGTTGATTAAAGAAGGGAACGATGTTGTTCTGAAGAATGGTGTCACGGTAGTAAAGGACATTCACTCTACCAGAGCGGTTTTGTGATGATAACTGATCCCTCCCAACACCATAATGGCGTTGGCGGTCCCTGGTGGTTCCTGTTTGTTGGTACCTGTTGGCAAGTCTTATGATAGGGAATGATGGCAACCAAATCGTCTGGCAATAATCCTGCTTGATGTGCCAACCTGCAACATGCCCAACGCCCGTTCTCGTTCCTCTGGTGACAATCTTGGCATTGCAAAATAAACTTTACTTGCGGAGGTACAGCTAAAATGAGAACGGTTTTTTGCCGACGGTCATTTATACCCCTAATCAGCATGTTTTACTCAAGCAATTTGTGCTTTTTGTGTGTGTTGTGCATGAATTTTGTTGTTGTCATGTGATGTGTTCCATGATGTGTTCGGGCAATCCGTTCTTTACTGTACAACATTATTTATTGTCTTTTGTGTTATTAACAACATTTCCAACGTTCCTTTTCACTGTCCCATATTTCCAAATTTACAAGTGGTGCGTTTTCAATGATGTTCAGTATATACAAAACCCTGTCAACTAAGGGCAGTAACATTACTAGATTATCACGAAATGAGTTAAAACTAGCTAGTATATATCTCTAAAAGTAGAAAACTATTTTTGGACAATACAATGTAAAAATGGGCTAGTAATCGCCAACAACTGAAGGTAGATCACCATACTAGGGACCATGGGGACTGACAGTGCCTTTGCTACTTGCATGGACTCTAGCTGGATTTACACCATCCCTTCAGCCATTGGCGTTTATGCTAAGATTTAGCCATACATTAAAATGACAAAAATACTACTATTAAAGACCTGGTAGACTTAAATTTACTTGAAAGATTTTGGGACTTACGTACCCTCTCAGGAGGACAATATTTGCAATGGTGAAGTAACAAATGTAGTATCGCCTAGAAAGCATGCATTATGCAGTTTGTACAGTAGGTATATGTAGTTGGCATTAAATGATTCGGTATAAGCTGATGTGTTGTCTTCATTGTTTACAGCCATCATTTAACGTTCAGTGGAATGGATGGAGAGACGACACATCTGGCATACGATCATTTGAATTCCAAGTATTTGAAATGGAGTTTATCGTCAGTGAAGATGGTCTCAGGATAAAAAAATAGAAAACTCATACAAAGATTAAATTCCACTCAGGTGAGATACATGGTAATGAAATAATACATTCAGTTATCTATTTTTAATAGCCTAAGTCAATATCTTGGCAACACAGGCTTCTGATATCTTTGTGGAGAGTTGGTATAGTATATACGTTTTAGAATACGAAATTAAAATAATATTAAATTTTTAAGTGGTTAACATGATTTACATTACTTTTGGTGTCAGAACACTGGCAGACTGCACCTCAATGACAAGGGGATATTCTCCGTAGAAATTACTGCGATTGACAAAGCTGGAAACATTAAAAGTGCCAGACGAATCATGATCTATGATGGGGAATCCCAAGTAGAGACGACACCAAACACCGTGTTACGTGCGATGTCAGCTGCAGAGATATCTTCATGGGAGTGGCAGTGGACATCGGACTCGGTCACCATCGACTGGAACCATCGCTACATCAACATGCTACACCACAGAAACAAATGGTTGGAGAGGGTATTACCAGTTCCTAAAATTGATGAGGAGTATGATGACCAAGGGTACAGCCGTGGGGTGGATCAGATACCCAGTGTACAAGGTGGGAATTTCGAGATCGACATTTTCTCATTTCTCATTCTCTCTTGAGAATATCAAAGTCTGTACCACTAACATATGTTTGAGACAACGAACTAAAGTACACAGTAAATGGATTTATAGATTTCAGTTAATGATGTATACTTTCAACAGCTAAACGTCACCCTTATTTTCCATAAGTGTATTATTGTTGACATGTTTGAAATACGTCTGATGCCACAGCGATGAAACAGCTAATTCAACGATGTCATCTTCATAATAAATGTTGACTGAAGACAAAGCATAAATATGTTATTATTGTCTGGACAGCAAGAAGCAAAACTGTTAATGTTAACTATTTCCCTTCTCAGGCATTGTTGCCCTAAAATATGCTTACGAAGTGGACCACAAGGGGGGAACATCAATAGGAACAGTTCCAGGTGACTCCAACTTCAGCAGCCTCTACTTGAACCAGTCCCACACAATCTCGCCCACTCTGGTTGACGGGGATACTCTCCGCTACTGGATCAGGGCTTATGACATCCGGGAGGAGTATCTGGAGGAGACAGTGACCGTCCACATTGACACATCACCCCCTATCATTGAGAACCTGTGGCTGACTCGGGGGGACAGGCTCAATGTCAGTGTACACAACGTAGATGAATTTAACCAAATGGTGTAAGTAATGTTGACAGTCAACAGTGGGATACATGGGTATGCTTAGTGGGAATAGAATATCAGCCATCACATAGCAAATGCTGAGAGTATTTCAGAATTAATCAGTCTTGAATTTGTTGAACTGACATACAATGATCCTGACAATGCCTTATTTATACACTGTGGCTAACGGTTAACATTAAAAACGTCCCCAGCAAATATACCAGACTGTAGCATTAAGTTGTTTTTAAAGCTATCCTTTCCAGTCAACCGGCTGTTTATAAGACCGTTCAACGGACTATATAACCCTTTGTGTAATTTGCAGGATCGAATGGGTTAGTTATGATGACCACAGTGGTTTGGAGACAGTTACCTGGCGACTGTTTGATAATTACACAGGTGCGGATCTCGTCTATGGAGTGGAGCACATTTCTGTGCAGGGTGAGACACAGGTAAATACCTTGCACTCTGGTTTTCACAATAGTTTGTTATGATTAATATAAAATATCAACATAACCTTAATAAAATTCCCAACAAATCGTCTTCAGGACATGGTGGACTGTGAAAGTAAATACCAGACTGCACCCAGGGGCCCTAACTGTTACTGTACCCCTGGAGTTGGATGTTACCATAGACATTTCCAGGTCAAGCCTAGGATCGTATCAGCCAACCTATCAGAAGGAGGGATCTTCCATGACAAAGAAAAAGGGCTTCATGACTCGGATTACTATCTTGAAGTTACTGTGATGAATCATGCCAAACTCACAACAACTCTAGATTTTAAGGTTTGTAAAACATGTTTGTTAACATGCAATTGCACGTATTTAGCACCTGTTTAGTTACGTTGTGTCATGCTATTCATCTGTGATATTTGATTAGGTGACCATTGACTCCAGTCCACCGCACACTGGTTCTGTTCACGACGGTCAAAGTGGCCACTCCGAAATTGACTACCAAGACAGTAAGCAGCTCCATGCCCACTGGGAGGGATTCTTTGACAGAGAAAGTGGAGTCAAGTTTTATCAGTACGGATATGCTGATCATTGTCTTGAGATAAGGGATTTCGGCCTCAACTCATCCAATGTAAGTATGAACGAAATTGTTTATCTCATTGGAAACATACAACGGAAGCACTTTTGTAATAGACATCAATTTCACAAAATAACAATATTGTTTCCATGGAATAATCTCCGTCAACAGGTTGCTGAGTATTGTGTAAAACCTGACTGTTCACTCATTACACACAGGTGACCGAGACGTCCTCAACCCACGCTTCCTGGACAGCCCCTTCTGAAAGCAAGTTCTATATCACAGTAGTCGCCTTCAACCGAGCTCTGGACTCATCCCTTCCAGTGTGTTCTGATGGAGTAACCGTGGATCAGACACCACCGTCTCTTGCCCAGATTGCTGTCCTCAACTCCCGCACTACTGAAGGTCTAGTGACGAATGGCGAGGAAGTGTGGCTCGTCACTGCAGACAGGAGGAGGAGTCAGATTGAAAAGCCGGATAGTGGTTGCAGGTATAGTATTACAAACTTCAACCTCAAACACCCGTAAAGGTCCGGGTTAGAATATATATTGGTCTTCAGTAACCCATGCTTGTAGTAAGAGGCGACTAACGGGATCAGGTGGTGAGGCTCGCTGACGTGGTTGACACATGTCATCAGGTTCCCAATTGCGTAGATCGATGCTCATGTTGTTGATCACAGGATTGTCTGGTACAGACTCGATTATTTACAGACCGCCGCCATATGGCTGGAATATTGCTGAGTGCGGCGTAAAACTAAATTCACTCACTCAAACTCAAAACTATTTACGAGGAAAGGTCTGGTGACGAATGACGAGGAAGTGTGGCTCGTTACTGAAGACAGGAGGAGGAGTCGGATTGAAAACCCTGATAGTGGTTGCAGGTATATATTATCAGAAACTTCAGCCTTAAAACAATTTACAAGGAAAGATGTAAAAAATATATGTTTGAAAACGTTTGAACATAATTATACTTATTATGGACATTTAGGTAGTCTACGTTGAACGTTAGATTGCACCTCCTCAATCTAGAAGTCATTGGTTGCAGAATGCGGGCAGCAGTGACAAGCAATCACAGCTTATCTCTACTTCCCCTTCATACACGTCAGAATGGTTCAACTGTTACCCACAAAGCGTCATCCTGCAGTCAACACCAAGCCTTCATGCTCAGCTCCGTCAGTCAGTTTTATATGTCACAGAAACATCACGTGAGTTCTAATCTAAAATGACAGATTCACCGTACAGTCAAGTAGTTTCAATATTCAATTCATATATAATCGGTGTTCCTATTACTCTGCGTGATTTCGCCTCCAGCTCTATGTCAACTGGACTAGCAGTGACGCTGAGAGTGGTATCTACGACTATCACCTGGGACTTATGTCTGATGCATCTCGTGAAGCAGCTCCAGACATCCTTCCCTACACATCCACGCACCATCATCCTCACTATGAAGGATACCACCCGCATCTCAGTGAAGGGCAGCGGGTGTATGTTGCAGTAAAGTCTATAAATAAAGCTGCATTACATGTCACGGAGGTACGTCAGACACACGCTTACACGTGATATTTCTACAAAATGATGCTTTCTAACACCCCCATTCCGCAGACCATCGGTACATCACCTGAAGCTCATATGATCCCAATTTTGCGAACATTTCAGCGTTCCGATGAGTTCCGATGAAAATCCACCCGACATCCTTTTTGGGGTGTCCCTTTTTCGCGTAAAATCCGAAAGAGATCCAGCATTGATCGGGTTAATCGGATGAAAGACTGGTAGCGTCCTGATGTCTGTCCGCCATAATCATCAGCGGCGTCCGACTGATTCTTCAATTTCTTGAGAGTTACGCCAGAATCCTTTGACTACTCCAGAGACTCGTACCAAGACTCACGCAGGGTCATACCAATGCCAGGAGAGCCTGTTAGACTGCACCCTAAGGCACCTTGCAGCTGGCGATCGGTACCCATCACTGTCATACAGCTTCAGGGTTGCTCGAGAAGTTTATCCCTGAAATCTGCCAAGCCATATTGGATGAGTATGCTGATGAAGAGATCCAGTGTCTCACCACTGAACAAGAATGGCATGCAATTGCTGAAGAATACGAGAGGTGTTGGAACGTTCCACATGTAATGGGGGCACTTGATGGCAAGCACTCAGGAAACTGAAGAATTCAGGGAGTCTCTACACATTTCTTCTCAGTGGTACTCATGGTACTTGTTGATGTGTTGACATGTGGATAGACACCAGTGGTCAAGGACACATGTCTGATGCAGATATACAAAGCATCTGAGCTCAAAGAGACAGTGGAGAGAGGTCAAATAAGATTCCCCACCTGAGCCAATGACCAGTGACAACCAGAACATGCCATACTTCATGATTCATTGGGGATGAAGCCTTTGCTTTGCGAACCCACATGATGAAGCCCTACTCGGGAAGGAACGTGACTCTTATTCAGAGCGATATATAACTATCGCATTAGTAGAGCCCGGAGAGTCGTGGAGAAAACTGTCGGAATACTGGCAGCCAGATTCCAGTGTCTTCAAGGAACATTACAACAACAACCTGATGTTGTGCGTAACATCATAGAAACCTGTGACAGCCTCCACAACCTGATCTGAATACGGCACCCAGCCATGCACCATGGTCAGATGGATACAGAGGATGCCAACCACAACATCATACCGGGAGAATGGGAGGTCGTTTCTTTGCCTTCTGTCCTCGAACATTTCTGTTCTTTCTTGGACCCATCTTCAGGATCTTGGTGCTGTAGTGTCCGATGAAACTCTGCGGAGTGAGTGTCGCCTGACCCTCCTATTGTAGTCCGATGGACGTCAGATGTCACCGCTTGCTATGCGATATGTGTCGGATGGCAGTTGAGTTAGTGAGCAATTACCTCCGATGTCACACCGGATAGTAATCGGACGGTGTTAAATATCATGTTACCCTCCGGGGAGAATCGAATTGGTGATGGGCGACTATCAGGCGCGTCAGGCACACCGCAGACTGCAATCAAATGAGCGTCAGATGACTGTTAATCATCGGATACTTATCAGATTGACGTCAGACGTCGGCTGGACACGTCCG